TCAATAACGCCACAACTACTGGGGAATTCCTCCGATAATCGCAACCATAGATAATAGATACACAAAGGGTAATAGATGGTCAACTCGAAACGCGCCGATTTGCGCGCCCTCCGGCAGGTTTAGTCACAACTAAATAAAAAAGGCGCGCACTTTAAATGTGCTAGTTATTTACTGTTTTTCGTAATGTGCAAGTTAAAGTGAAAAATGGATAAGAAACAATGTAATTTCCTTTTTTATAAAAGAAAACACATTGTTTCTTTGTAAAAAAGGAAATACATTGTTACTTGTCCATTTTTCACCTTAACATAAAAACTTGCGAATTTATAAGTGTAAAAGTAATAATAAGTGAAAGAATAGTAAAAGAAATTTATTGAATGTAACAAATAAACTTGTACAAAATAAATTATTATGTAACTTCAACAGACAATCGGCCAAATAGAAAAGGCCACAAAATAGAAGAAATAGTAATACAGTTTAACTTAATAGTAACATTAAATTTTTAACAACTTTCAGTAGATAACTAAAACCTTTCAATAATGTACTATAAACATTTTCAACACAATTTAAATTAAATATTACTAAGATAATTATTAATGAAGGTAAAAAATCGTTAAGTTGTAGCAACTTACGTGTTCAGATTGAAATTGATGCAGAACACTGAATTTTGAAGAAAAGGGGTTGTAAACAATTCCAAATTAGTGGGTAGTAGAATATTGTTATTCTGTCCATCTGAGAACACCAGCAAAAGTCACTGCATCGTTTTGTTTTTTGTTTTCGTGGAAGAGGGGAAATCTTCGAAAGACACCCCGCCGACCGTACGACTGGGTAGTGTTGGATTCCCTAACAGGAGGACCTACCAACTAAAACCCCTCTCCCTTATAATAGGTTCTGGTAGCAATGGTACACCTAAAAATAAAGAAAAATTAATTATAAAAATGTTTACATGGTACATACGAAATTTTTGCAGAAGCGTCATGCAGAAGGGGGTGGATCTAAGTCAAAGGGGAAGAAGTAACGTCATCGTTGGTGAATGTGAAAATAATGCATATTCTAGTTACAAAATACCTCATAAAGAAATCGGAAATATGCATAAAAACTGAACGTTAGTCAAGCTTTTCAGTAACACTTACCGGAACGTATGGCTGGGCAACTTATACAGAAGCTCGTAGGGGGGTGGCGATGATCGATGGCAGTGAAATCTGTAAAAAATATAAAGATTATACTTATAAAGGTACACACATACTATTTTCTACAAAAACTATGCATAAAAAGTGATCGTTAGTCAAGCTTTTCAGCAACACTTACCGGAATGAGTGGCAAGGCTAGTCAAACAGTAGTTCGTACGGGGGCGGCGATGATCGATGACTGTGAAATCTGTAAAAAAAAAAAAGATTATACTTATAAAGGTACATACATACTAATTTCTACAAAAACAATGCATAAAAAGTGAACGTTAGTCAAGCTTTTCAGCAACACTTACCGGAATGAGTGGCAAGGCTAGTCAAACAGTAGTTCGTACGGGGGCGGCGATGATCAATGACTGTGAAATCTGTAAAAAAAATAAAGATTATACTTATAAAGGTACATACATACTAATTTCTACAAAAACAATGCATAAAAAGTGAACGTTAGTCAAGCTTTTCAGCAACACTTACCGGAATGAGTGGCAAGGCTAGTCAAACAGTAGTTCGTACGGGGGCGGCGATGATCAATGACTGTGAAATCTGTAAAAAAAATAAAGATTATACTTATAAAGGTACATACATACTAATTTCTACAAAAACTATGCATAAAAAGTGAACGTTAGTCAAGCTTTTCAGCAACACTTACCGGAATGAGTGGCAAGGCTAGTCAAACAGTAGTTCGTACGGGGGCGGCGATGATCAATGACTGTGAAATCTGTAAAAAAAATAAAGATTATACTTATAAAGGTACATACATACTAATTTCTACAAAAACTATGCATAAAAAGTGAACGTTAGTCAAGCTTTTCAGCAACACTTACCGGAATGAGTGGCAAGGCTAGTCAAACAGTAGTTCGTACGGGGGCGGCGATGATCAATGACTGTGAAATCTGTAAAAAAAATAAAGATTATACTTATAAAGGTACATACATACTAATTTCTACAAAAACTATGCATAAAAAGTGAACGTTAGTCAAGCTTTTCAGCAACACTTACCGGAATGAGTGGCAAGGCTAGTCAAACAGTAGTTCGTACGGGGGCGGCGATGATCAATGACTGTGAAATCTGTAAAAAAAATAAAGATTATACTTATAAAGGTACATACATACTACTTTCTACAAAAACTATGCATAAAAAGTGAACGTTAGTCAAGCTTTTCAGCAACACTTACCGGAATGAGTGGCAAGGCTAGTCAAACAGTAGTTCGTACGGGGGCGGCGATGATCAATGACTGTGAAATCTGTAAAAAAAATAAAGATTATACTTATAAAGGTACATACATACTACTTTCTACAAAAACTATGCATAAAAAGTGAACGTTAGTCAAGCTTTTCAGCAACACTTACCGGAATGAGTGGCAAGGCTAGTCAAACAGTAGTTCGTACGGGGGCGGCGATGATCAATGACTGTGAAATCTGTAAAAAAAATAAAGATTATACTTATAAAGGTACATACATACTACTTTCTACAAAAACTATGCATAAAAAGTGAACGTTAGTCAAGCTTTTCAGCAACACTTACCGGAATGAGTGGCAAGGCTAGTCAAACAGTAGTTCGTACGGGGGCGGCGATGATCAATGACTGTGAAATCTGTAAAAAAAATAAAGATTATACTTATAAAGGTACATACATACTACTTTCTACAAAAACTATGCATAAAAAGTGAACGTTAGTCAAGCTTTTCAGCAACACTTACCGGAATGAGTGGCAAGGCTAGTCAAACAGTAGTTCGTACGGGGGCGGCGATGATCAATGACTGTGAAATCTGTAAAAAAAATAAAGATTATACTTATAAAGGTACATACATACTACTTTCTACAAAAACTATGCATAAAAAGTGAACGTTAGTCAAGCTTTTCAGCAACACTTACCGGAATGAGTGGCAAGGCTAGTCAAACAGTAGTTCGTACGGGGGCGGCGATGATCAATGACTGTGAAATCTGTAAAAAAAATAAAGATTATACTTATAAAGGTACATACATACTACTTTCTACAAAAACTATGCATAAAAAGTGAACGTTAGTCAAGCTTTTCAGCAACACTTACCGGAATGAGTGGCAAGGCTAGTCAAACAGTAGTTCGTACGGGGGCGGCGATGATCAATGACTGTGAAATCTGTAAAAAAAATAAAGATTATACTTATAAAGGTACATACATACTACTTTCTACAAAAACTATGCATAAAAAGTGAACGTTAGTCAAGCTTTTCAGCAACACTTACCGGAATGAGTGGCAAGGCTAGTCAAACAGTAGTTCGTACGGGGGCGGCGATGATCAATGACTGTGAAATCTGTAAAAAAAATAAAGATTATACTTATAAAGGTACATACATACTACTTTCTACAAAAACTATGCATAAAAAGTGAACGTTAGTCAAGCTTTTCAGCAACACTTACCGGAATGAGTGGCAAGGCTAGTCAAACAGTAGTTCGTACGGGGGCGGCGATGATCAATGACTGTGAAATCTGTAAAAAAAATAAAGATTATACTTATAAAGGTACATACATACTACTTTCTACAAAAACTATGCATAAAAAGTGAACGTTAGTCAAGCTTTTCAGCAACACTTACCGGAATGAGTGGCAAGGCTAGTCAAACAGTAGTTCGTACGGGGGCGGCGATGATCAATGACTGTGAAATCTGTAAAAAAAATAAAGATTATACTTATAAAGGTACATACATTATACTTATAAAGGTACATACATACTACTTTCTACAAAAACTATGCATAAAAAGTGAACGTTAGTCAAGCTTTTCAGCAACACTTACCGGAATGAGTGGCAAGGCTAGCCAAACAGTAGTTCGTACGGGGGCGGCGATCATCAGTGGCTGTAAAATCTGTAAAAATAATGAAAATTATACTTAGAAAGGTACCGCACGGAATACGTTCAAGAAACAGTATGCATAAAATTGAACGTTAGTCAAGCTTTTTAGCAACACTTACCGGAATGTGTGGCAAGATAACTTAAAGAGAGGCTCGTAGGGGGGTGGCGATGATCGGTGACTGTAAAAGCTGTAAAAATAATGAAAATTGTAGTTACAAAGGTACAGAATACTTGTAGAAAAAATATGCATAAATATTGAACATTAGTCAAGCTTTTCAGCAACACGTACCGGCAAGAAGAATGAGAACCTCGTAGGGGGATAGTGATCATCGGTTACTGTGAATGCTGTGAAAATAATTAAAATTATCTTGTTGTGTTCATAATTATTACTACTGCAGAGGCAATCATAAGTAAATTTTTATACGCTGCAATGATACAGTATATTGTGAGTATTTTGGGGATACGAATAAATTATTTCTCTACAAAACTAAAAATATAATTAAATGTAGAAAACAATTACACCCTCCGGGTCAACAAGTTTATTCCTAATGATACGATTTTCAGTCTACTAAATACAATGTCATTTATTCAATACCACTATGATGGTATGACACCATTTGAAACATTCGTATGTTCCAAAGAGAGGACGAAATGTTTGTATATTACAAGAAATACAACAATCCTAAGTAAAGACCAAGGAAAAAATCGTTGTTATTACGTTGATAAACAAAACAGTTCCAAATGTTCGAAACATGTATTTGTATGCCAAATCTTTCATTCTATTAAGTATTAACACGTTTGTAACGTTTTAAAATTGTTTTAAATCATTTATTTGTATGATGGCGTGCGTACATACAATTCTTCAGTAAACGCACTTAATCAAAAGTACAGAAATAATCTGTTGTGTAACTTGTAACAGAATAGTTTTCAAAAATTGCCACATGATGTGCGATACGAATATGTAAACAATGCCGCAGCTATTAATTAAGACATCTAAACTGAACAACATGAAATATATTTAGTTATTTAAACCAGTACAAACAATTTACATAGATGTAAATCCCACAAAGGTAATCGCAGTTAGCTGTTTTGGAATTGTTTTTTAATTGATTCAACTTTAACATCCATATAGCAATGAAATTCAATATACATAAAGCAAAATCGTCCGCGATGTTTCGCAAAAAGGCCATGTAAGATGTATTTGTAAGTTATATGGAAATCTTTACATACGTATAACACACACACTTTCATCCACTTAAAAAACGAAAATGTGAGATAAGTGTAATCATTAATAATTATAAGAGAACACATTNTATTATCGTTACCAATTTTAATAAAAAAATTTTTTGAACGTAGACAACCCTCATTACTGCAATGCAAACAAAAATTATGATAATTTTTTTTATGATCGTACTGCTGTATTTCTTATGCAACCCATTTTACAAAATCTTTAAACCCTGCAAGCACCGCCATCTGCCAGGTTTAGTCACAACTATTTTGACAGGAGAGTTGAAACCGCATGATCATACCTGTCATAGATTAAAGAAATATATACCGTTAAATTCATAGATTAAGTCAAATATTTTCATTGATGCGTATCCACAGACAAGTAAGATACATTACCATAATTTCTAAGGAATACTTCAAATAATTTTAGGTATTCATTTTAACATTTGCTATATAGTTATGCATGTTGATTATATATACAACATATATTTGGCGAGGATGCCATTCTTTCCCCTAGTTTTGGAGTTTGGAAAAAGTAAGTAAAACAAACAAACCCAACCTATCTTAAACGAATCAATCAAAAATAGTTGTAATTCTTTGTCAACAATTTGAAGTGAACATACTAATCGAGACCACAAAAGCGGTACCACAGAAGTTCAATCGTTAACGGTAACTGCCAAAATGAACTGTTAACTGTGAGGTGTAATCTAAAAATGTTTATTAACATCATCCCCCCAATTGCTTCATGTAAGTTTTTCATTTTAAGCCATTTCCAACAAGAAAAATTTACATTTTCGAAAGAGCCGTGATACGGAAGTTTTAGCTTTTACCTCTTTTTTATTTTAAACTTTATATTACAGCAATCTTGATATTTAAATTAAACACAAAATAATTTTTGTTGATTTTGCGATTTGTATTTTTATCTATGCTCTATAGTTGTTTCCTTCACACGTATCTATAGTAGTTTTCCAATTACAGAGCATAATGCGACTGTGCCGCACCATGCCGAAGTGTGCTGCTGCTTAATTGGAATGTGTATTAGTTTTCAAGTGCGCCAACAGAGTGCACTAATGTCAGTGTTGAGGAAAAAAACCTTCATCGACTTAGCAACCTATTAATTTACTTTTAAAAGGAATGGTATACAACATCAATAGTTATTAGTCGAAAGCTTTTTCTAAATATTATAAGTAATTTCGATTTTTCTAGTATTCATTGCGCACATCGGACATAGGCAGTACTTTTCAAAGTGCTCAACGCTGCGAGGCGTTGCTGTAGTTAGAACACTCGATCAAAGAATACAGATACATAGAAGGCCACATCAGTGCGATTTGGTGTCGCAGTACAATGTTTAGTTCTAACTGCGACCGTAGGAGTCGCATGGTCGAAATAGGCAGGGCAGGGCAGGCTGCAGATGGAATTGTCAGCAATTGACTCTGGTCGACGCATGGCCAACGACTGCTGACAATTCCATCTGCAGCCTGCCCTGCCTATTTCGACCATGCGACACCTACGGTCGCAGTTAGAACTGAGCATTCTACTGCGATACGAAATTGCGCTGATGTGGCCTTCTATGGGTCTGTATTTTTTGACTCGATGCTGCGCAAAATGCCGCAGTGTGCGCTCTAGTGCTTTAATTGGAAAATTACCTGTATGTCCGCAGTATAAACTGACAAAATTATTTAGAAGTCTGTGAATTTTATGCATTTGGTCCATCTTGCCATTTTGTATTACAACCCACGCTACATCGCCATTTTTAAGACTTCACAATTAACTTGCTTTTCCCTGCATGTATTCATTATTGTTTTTCATGTCTCAATTGTTTATTGTATTAATAGTGAAGTTTATTTTTTTCTTCTCCATATTTACAGATTGACGATAATAGAAGTGGTAAATGTTCATTGTGATGCAACTGAAAATGAAAATCTTTTGCCATGGTGTTGTCTTCAGTTTAGAGTCTTCTATAGTTAAGGTATATATATAAAACATATAATATATTTATTCGATATTAACAGAGAAAAGGGTTTGGTATTACTGTAACGTTGTATTGTGCAAGTTATTTAGTTGGGAAGCTAAAATGAATTATATCTGAATATTGTTTGATAAAATTTCATTTTACAGGAACATTACAAAAACTGGATGGCATTAAATTACAGAGCATTGCTTGTATCAGTCCTCATTCCCTCGAGAAAGTAGATGTTCCTATGGTCCTAAAGAAAACATGTTTTTTTTTCATTGAGGATGAAGGCAGTTTGCCGTTGTTAAAGGAGATTTATTACAGTGAACTGGTGAGTAACAGCATCAATTAAAAATAATAGTAATTAAGATCCCAGTAACTTCAATTTCTATAGACAACTAATACAACTTTGCAGAAATAGCACAAGCAGAGAAGCAGAATTAATATGAAATTTCTCTTTTGATCAAAGTGAAAGTTAGCTTTTAACTTTTGAACTTGCAAGGGGGAGGCAAGAGGAAGTTAATTTGGAAACCACTGGAACAACATTACCAGCAATTGTATCATTTCTGGATTTGGCTTGCTCATTACACTTGTAGACTTTAGAACACTACATTCCACAATTACTTAAGGTGAGAATACATGACATAATTAATTGCTCTTTATTAAAATGTAATGGCATTTCTTTTAACAATTCTCTATTGTCAACAATATAAATTGACGTTATGACGTGTGTATCATTTCTTTAAAATATCTATTGTTCACAGTTTCTATAAAATTTCGTTTAACATTTATCTATTGTCTACACTCTACACCATGAATGGACGTCTATGATTTCACCCTTTGTGTATGTACTATCTATGGATTTCACATTTATCTGTCATTATGTAAACATGACGTTTGTCCTCATTTTATAATTTAGATGTTTTACTTGCGTTTTGGTGCGTGTTTTTAGATGTGTTTAATCTCATTCTTAATTAAAGGTGTAATTAATATATTTTTTTGTCCATTTCTACAGATCGTCTAACAAATGAGAGGGAATTAAAGTTTTTGGTCGTACTGAAACAACCAATGTCTGGATGGGTGTGGTCTTTCGTGGATCATATTGTTGATTTGCAGTTTTCGTCTTCGCCTTGCAACATTATGCAGTCAATTTTCAACCGACGAGTGAGAGCAACTGGAGATTTATTCGAATTCCACTGAAACAACAAATTTTCTGCNCTGCCAGGTTTAGTCACAACTATTTTGACAGGAGAGTTGAAACCGCATGGAGCTTATATAAAATGATTCCATCCTGCTAAGTTATAAGTACAACGTAAATATGTTAATATGGATGCATATATTACTTTAATTCAAGGAGTTCTCAAAAACATTTCCAAGAATGCAACCTCACAAGAAAGATTAAAAAATATCATAGTATGCAAAGTAAACATGTCAAAATTATGAAAATTACATATATTTTTTTCTATAAAAGAGTTTATTCATTGAGAAATGGTATAAGTTTAAGTGTAAAGACCTCAATAAACATTTGTCACATGTAAAACATTTCCAAAGAATGTTAATAATGTTAAAATTTACATCTTCCCAGGATGAAATCTTTTTAAATGAGCTATTATTTTCTTTTAAGATTTTGAAGTCTCAAATGCATAATGCATTCTTTTATACGTTTGCAAGCATGTAGAAATCATATAGTTGCCAACAAAACATATCACAACTAATTATCTAAATTTTTATTCAAGAAGCCTTAAGGAATGATAAACTGTATAAATTATAATTGCTTAACTAATTATGTAGAAGATAAAATTCAGCATTTGTCAATGTTAACTTATTTAGCAGGGTTGCTGATTAACATTAAAAAAATTTACATACAAAGTAGAAATCTTCCCGAAGTGGACCGGGGTGTGACAACAGCAACAATTTTTCCTCATTAATTTGAGGTGGTGTGTAGTGGGTACAAATTGAGAATATTTCATATTAAAAAAATTGAATTTCAATGAAAACAATGACCACCAACAAATTTTACTTTATACAACCATTTATCCTGTAGTGTACATATCTGAAGTGTAGTTTCGATAAACGTTAGCACCATTCAGTTAACTTCCATTTTTATTGTACTATATAACTAAAATTTACAGAAAATTTATAATACTTATAAATCGGGCCTAACTTTAAAACCTGGACCGGGTGGCTCACTGGTGAGTGATGTTAATCCTCCTCTTGGTTCACATGCATATCTTCCACTTCTGGTAATAAACAATACAAAAATATTACTAATACTGTAACAAATAGTGAGAAAGTGGGCTTATGAATTTTTGATATTTCTTTTCTTAGTACACAAAAAATTTATGGCCAAATTTTAGATTTCTCTCTTACTCTTTTAGGTAATATGTATAATAAAATATCAGTAATAAGGTTTTAAACTGCTTTAAAGTTAAATCTTTTATGTTTATCTGAAGTGCATCGCCATCTAATGGATATTTACTGCTCCTTAAGTAGTAGCTATACACATTCATTTGTTTTAAACACATTCATTTGTTTTAAATACATTCAATTTACCTTGGCCCTGGTGCAGGTCTTTTCCCAAGCTTTAAATCATTTAAAATTGATTTAGTATCTTCTACAGTCAAATCTTCCTGTAAACATGTCACTTAAATATAAAACCAATATAATTATAAAATACTTACATAATAATCATCATTAATTTGGACCATAGGTGCATTAACACAAGCACCTAAACATTCTACTTCAGAGAGTGTAAACAATTTATCAGTGGTTGTTTCTCCTACCTTTATATTTAATTCACTCTTAATAGTATTTAGCACTTCATCTGAACCTCTTAACCAACATGGAGTTGTGGTGCATACTTGAACATGATATTTGCCAACAGGTTTTCTAACAAAAATGTAATAATAAGTACATGTACTACAATAATTAAAACAAACAATAACCTAATAAACATTGTATAAAATGTAGCTACTTCATATACTCTCATTCTAGGTAAATTTAATATTTCAGCAACTTTATGCATAGCAGACAACGGTAACCACCCACCAACTTGTCTCTGAGCAAGATCTAATAAGGGCATCATGGCTCCTCTTTTATGACCTTCAGGATAAAGCCCTAAAATTGCTTGTATTCTCTAAAAAGCAGTAAATAAATCATAAATCAAAGCTATTTATAATAACATTTACTTTTTTATTATCATCAGTAAATTCAAAGGGAATATCAGGATTATCTTCTGGAGTATCTCTATGTACAAACATAGTGTCGTGTTTTAAACATGGAAAAGTTTGAATAGTTCGTGTAAAAATTGGGCTCCACTAAAAGTAATATGTTGTAAAACAATTATGCAACACACAAATTAAAAATTAAAATTATACATATATGTACACATATATTACTTTTAATTTTATGCTTCTGATTGTTGACAACATCTCTGTACTTTGTATCTCTATCGCAGAACCTGTTAATAACCGCTGACGATTAATAATCTTGCTTACGACTGTTTTCAATAATATTAAAAATTAGCAATAACTGCAGTCTTCAGTTTACATAATATGATAGGCAGTGGCTCCGGACGGTTTGGCCGTGTTCTTAATCTTTAAAAGAACCGTCCAACGGCTTTATTATTTTTAAACCTATACAGAAGTTAACAAAAGAGAACATAAACTAACAAAACCTTGGCTCGGATTACACACTGCTAGGGTTCGGTGTTAGAGGAATTATAGGATTAAGGGATTAACTTAATCCGACTTAATCTCAACATGAGAAATCTATTGGGACTACTTTCAGGTCGATCAGACTTTCGGTTCCGGTTTTACCGGAAGTTGAATATTTTACTTTTTTGTGTAGTCTCTGAAGGACTTCCTAAAAATTTGATGTTCGCTCTTTCAGACCTGAACACCGAATGACCAATACACCGTATACAGTATGCAGCACACAATAGAAAGATAGGAACGCTACCGAACCGTCTCTGCTGGGTTTCTCTTTATAAATTCAAAACCGGAAGTCGAATTAACTCCAAACCGGTTCCGTTGTATTTCTCATAATCCACTTGTTCATTATCCCCTAACCATTGTAAACAAAATAACTTCCGGTAAAATCGGAAGCGGAAGTGATCGAACTGGAACTAGTCTCAATCGATTCCTCGTCTCAAGTTTAGTCGGATTAGGCTAATCCTAAAATCCTCAAGTCACTCTAACACCGAACCGCAGCAGTGGGTAATCCCTACCAAAACCTTTATTATCTTAAAAGACTTGTGATTTTCCAGTGACATTAACAAAAAAAACTTTTCAATACACTGTATTTTTTGTTATGGAATTATAAAAATAAGATATAGGTAGTTATATATGTAAGTAACATTATTTTAAACTATAGCAATACTTCAAATTCCTTAATATACAGGGTATTTTTGAAATAAGTAGCAATATTGCAGGAGGTGATGGGACACTATAAAATAAGAAAATTAAGTAAACGTTTGCAGGTCTGAAAGTTCATTGCTTTAGAGGCAAACGTAGTTGAAAGTAGAGATAAATCTAATTTCGACCTTGGAGAAAAATACAACAATACGCCTTATTCAATCAGCTGGTAATTGTATGTTAAGGTCATGGGATATTCAGTGTATTAAATAACATAGTTGAGACACCATGAGTGAGATAGCGGTTTACGTGACGGCTGAATAGATTGTGAATTAGGTTGCTTATAATGAAAAGTATTTTGTTCTTAAAAACATATATCTAATACTCCTATATTCCTAGCGCTCGTAAGTGAAAACGGGGTAAATAAGACAACAAAAGACTACTCCTACCTCCTTTTAGACTATTCGACCCGTTGTGCGCAAGCGTCACGAGTCTGATGGGGTACTTGACAAGTGTGGTGGTGTACGCCATAAATAATGCGCGCTTGTAGGCATGTTCACTCCCGGTTCGAACTTCGAGATAGCAACATCTACTGCAGCAGCGGTCGACAACAACTACTCGATGCTAGAGTTCTTCAGCGACAAAAAATAGTCTTTCTTAAGACTAATCGACCATGGAGTTAGACGAAGGCTTCGAGATCCCGAAGAAGACGAGAAAGCTGACCTACGACCAGAGAACAGCCACGAAGGTTACAACGTCGAACAGCTTCGAAGTTCTACATTGCGAGTCAACGGACCAACCCAAAATCCCACCAGTGATCATACACTATAACGAGGACTGGAACGAAATACGTAAGAAGCTGCAACTAAACAACATAAAGTTCGACCACGCCACGAGCACCAAAAATGGAGTTAGGATACAACCTTGCACCGAAGATGACCACAGCAGGCTGACAGCTTTGTTGGACAAAATTGATTGCTACTACTTTACCTATACAAGCGACCGTAAACGACCAATCAAATACGTCATGAAGGGTATTCCCACCTCGCTGTCATGCGACGTCTCCAACGACCTTGAGGGAAAAGGGATAAGCGACACAACCGTCCATAGGATGAAGAGCCGGTCCAAGGCGATTCCCCTGGTCCTAATTATCGCGCCCAAAGAAATGGAGGACAAAGTCAAGGGCATCAAGACATGTTGCCACCTACGTGTCTCAATTGAGATGTACCGCCAACTACGACGACCCACGCAATGCCATCGCTGCCAGCGCATTGGACATATCCAAAGGAACTGCAAGATGGCACCACGATGCGTAAAATGTGAAGACCTTCACCATTCTTCCCAGTGCACGAAGCCAAGGGAGGAAGTGCCGCAACTGCGAAGGGCCACACCCCGCTAGCTACCGGGGTTGCAAAGCCTTCACGACGAAGACACCAAAGACAACAAAGCCTATCAACTCAACCAAGGCCACCGCATCTACCGTCCGACAAGGGATCTCATATGCGAAAGCGACAGCGGGAAAGCCAAGAACGGAAAACCCTTCAACTTCAACAGAGACAACAACAATATTTGACAAAATCGACCTGACTACCTTCAAGACAGCAATAATCAACCTCGCCAACCAACTTAAAGGAGCCACAACTCCAGGCGAAATACTCCTGCACCTGTTGGGCAACCCCCACATCTTACTACAAATACTACACAAATAGTAAGAACAATACCATGCGGCTGAAGAGAGCCTCGCGGCCCTAGAACGGCCTGAGGGGGAGAGGTTTTAGTCGGTAGGCGTCCTCCGGGATGAATCCGACACTACCCGGTCGCGCGGGCGGCCGGGTGTCTTTTGAAGATTTCCTCTCTTCCACGAAAACAAAAAAAAAAAAGGCATGTTCAACTCCCTCGCCGACGTCATCGCCCATGTAGCCAAGTTAAAGCAAAACTTAACCGTTCTGGGCACCTTTATCCGTCAGCACGCTGACAATAAAGCAACACCCATGTCAGAAGACACCGGGCCAGCACCTCCTCCATTGCCCCGCCCTCACAGATACTTATACCTAAAACTTCTACTACTTCCACCGCCGATGGATTTACAAAAGCTAATAGCCGCCGAACTAACCGCAGAAGGCGAACGCCATTCCTTTCGTCGCCTTCTACGACGTCTACGGACGTAAATCCGAACCTGAAATCTCTAGTCATGGCGCCGCAGCTCCTCCCCCAAAAGACCCTTTGGCCAAAAATTATCCGTGGCATGGAAAGCCACGGTATCTCCGCCCGACGGGCAAGTAATACCAGCGACTCCATCAGGATGTCCCAACTCTGTGAAGGACTTCTGCCGCTTTTCTTCTCTCCTCGACAAGTCAAACGTCGAATTATCAACCAACCAGCTCCACCAAGACGCAGACCTTCACGTCATCCTTCGCGGAGTCTGTGAGTCCATCTCCACCGTATGTCCAACGGTGACAAAGTTTGGCTGCTAGTGTCCGTTCGCTTAGACAGGTCGGACAAAAAGTCCAATAAAATATTCGAGCTTGACAAGACCTGCGGGCTCAACGTCAAAGTCGAGCCTAAAAAAGCTAACAAAGACGTCCCCTAATGCCACCGGTGCCTGAAGTTCTTTCACACGGCCAACTAACTGCCGCGCAGCCTGAGTCTGTTCCTTCTGCGGCCGTAATAATCTCTCAGCCGAATGCAAGGCGGAAGACAACAAAGGCGCCACTCCTTCCTGTGTAAACTGCAAAGGAAGAAACCGCTCCTCCTATCGAGGTTTCGCGCAAAACCGACGCTTCAAAAAAGGCCACCACCACCCCGGCTGCTCCAAAGAGTGTCCATCAACCGACCGTTCTCCTGTTGCCTCCGTAAAGACATCTCCCCAAAAGTTTTACGCAAGGGCCGTGAGAGCAGCCCCCCATCCCGACCCACAAGCTCAACCCAACCCCAAGCACCGCTACAACATCAGGTGCAACACTGTCCCTTCAGGCTATCATCCAAGCAATGGTAGCCAGTTTAGTCGCCCTCCTCCAACCACTCACCAATGTCTAATACAGCTCACCCAGATAGTCTTCGATTAGTTACCTGGAATGTCCATACTTCCCTTTCGTATGGAAAGAAGTCACTGTCATTTGTCTCCCCAAAAAAAGGAAACCCCTCAGCTCTCCCTCACACTGTAGGCCGATCAGCCTGCTCAGTTCGTTGAGCAAAGTAGTTGAATCCATCCTTCTCGATCGGCTCTTAGACCATGTGGAGCAAACCTTTTTGCCCATCATCAACACGGCTTCCGCAGGCATCACGGCACCGACTACCAACTTCTTCGCGTATCCGAATATATTTCCGATAACCTTTACAAGCGACGTCAGACCTCCATGCTTCTTCTTGACGTCCAGCAAGCGTTCGACCGAGTCTGACACGAAGGCCTTATTCCAAACTCATCGCTCTCTTAACATTCCACATTTTCTGATTGGGGTTATCGGATCCTTTCTCACAGACAGAAGCTTTTGGGTCCGCGTTGGCTCTGTTCCTTAGGCCAACAAACCCGTCACAGCCGGTGTCCCACAAAGCTTCAAACTATCTCCCATTCTTTTTAACCTGTTTTGCGCGTACATGCTCTCCGACACTTCTATTCTGACTGGTCATTATGCTGACGACATTGTCCTCAAATGGAAAAACTCCGTCACTTACCTAGGCGTCGTCTTCGACAGGACCCTAAACCGGCGGTACCGTATCACAGCTACCCGTAACAAGGCTAGGGTGCATTCAACGCACCCAAGCCTTTGTTGCGAAACACCTCCATCACCCAACATACAAAAATCCGTGTGTTTAACGCAATCATCAGGAGCATTTGCTCCTACGCCATTCCCGTCTGCAGCTGCGCGTTTCCCCACCGCCTGAAACCTCTGCAAGGCACCTACATGCGGATCCTTCGTTCCGAACTAAACTACCTCTGGTTCTTTGTTCTTTTAATGGTGTAAACGTATATGTATGTATGTATTCAGTCGAATTGGTGGTAGGTAGGTCAACGAGTCATTGTTATACGTCAATAACAACCTCAAGGGTGGTATGGAAATTTGCCTTACAATTACTTATCTATAAGGTATTAATTAACTTATTGATGTTTACGTAATGTTAATTTTATTTTTCTTTGGTGTTCTTAATACTAAGCTGAGTTGAACTTTAAATAATGCTGCAAATAAACAGCGATGAACAAAGCTGTTATTTATTTAATTTTTATCAAGACCGGCTTGAAATTGCAATTTGTTCTCTTTTTCTTACAATTTCTTTGTCTCTTAATCATGCTTTTTTACTCACCGTGCGATTCCCTATTACATCAGTTAACACCCTCCAAAGCTTACCACTTATTTCAGAAAAACACCCTGTATACTTATGCCGATGTTAATAAATGCGAGAAAAATGCTGGTAAATAAAGCGAAATGTAGAATTACTCTAATTTATATCTATAAATTGAGCTCTGTAAAACTTTAGCTCTGAAAAAGTTGACAAGACGTAGTGGAAATATAATAGTATAGACCGTTGAGTAGTATTATAAAAAAAAATGCGGAAAATTGAAAAAGGTTCATAAACAATATTATTTTTGGATGCGTAGGATACTGTTTTGGTTCCTCATCCTCAAAGCTTCTAACCTATCCTAACATTTTCTTTTCCACCGCGCCAATCAACCATGTTTCGCACCCATACAGCGTCGTGCTCCAAACATACACATTTAACAATCTTTTTCGAATTTCTAAATTAATGTTTGCGAGCATAAAAGTAACTTCTTTTTATTGAAGGTGATCCGACCCTGCGCTATCCTCTGTGTTATATCCCTACTACTCCTTCCGTCCTGACATTTGACTCCCAAATACCTAAAATCAGCCACTTCTAATTTTCCATCTCCTGTTTCTATATTCGATTTATCTCTACCTTTTCTTCTCTTGCACATCAGTATTTTTGTTTTACTTTTACTTATTTTCATACAAAACTGTTTTATCAATATCACTTCCATTTTATTTAAAGCGATCTCTAACTCCTCCTTGCTAGATGCTAATACTGCTATATCATCTGAAAATCTAAGCATACTAATCTTTTGCTCCTGTATATTTACCCCTACAGTTGTACTGTCTTTAATAATGTTGATCGCGTCTTCGATGTGTAAATTGAATTTCATCCCTGACTGACTCCCTTCCTAATGTTTACTTGTCTACATTGCAGCTCCAGCTCTATAATTACCTGTTGCTTTTTATACAAACTAAGTTCACTGTTCTATTTCTGTAACTCATCCCTACATTTTTTAGTGTATTTAACGTCTTGTCTCATTTAACATTGTCAAAAGCTTTTTCTACAAATCCTATATGTAAGAACTCTTTCTTTTTTATCGTTTCCTCTACTGTTACCCGTCAAGCTAGAATGTCCTCCAGGGTTCTTCTATTTTTTCTAAACCCTAATAGTTCTTTCGCCACTTCTTCCATCCTTCTCTGTACAATTCTAGTTAAAATTTTGACGCATGAGAAGTTATGCTAATTGTTCTAAATTTCTCGCACCTATCCGCGCCTCTCTTTTTAGGTCTAGTTACGACCACGTTCCGTTTACAATCTACTGCAATCTACTGGGATTTTCCCAGTTTCGTAAATGTGACTAACTAGCTTAAACATACAATCTCTAACGTCGTTTTTTAATACTACATCGAACTCTTTTCTCATTATGAGATAACCTACTTCACCTATCTCCACACTGTCTTCCTCTCATGACCTGAGTATAGGTTTTCTAAATATTCTTTTCGCCTATCTGCCTTTTCCTCATTTTCTACTAAAATGACCCCTACCTCGTTTCATATATTATTGATACTGTACCCTACATCTCTAAAATTCCTGTTAATTATATTATAAGCCTCATCTGTTTTACCTACTTTTTTACACTTTAGATCAATCCACTGTTCCTTAGCTGCCCTACACTTTCTATTATTTTCTATTTTATGGCCTACTTCGTTTGTCTTGTTTTTGTATTTCTTCCTTTCTTCTATTTAATCCTACATTCTCGTTTGTTATCCAGGGTTTTTTTTTACTTTCGTTTTCTTTAAGATCTAGTATATCTGTAGCAGCTGACTTAAGGACGTTTTAATGCAGTTCCATTTTGTCTCTGTTATTCGTTTTTCCCGCCTTATTTCGTCTGTATGTACATGAAATATAAATGATTAAATGAAAAAGAAACGATTAACACGTTGTATAAAAGAAAGGACGGGCAATTTCCTGCTACCGGTAAAAGTTGTATCAATATGCAAAAATAATTGCGTAGTTGTTACGAATTGTCATTGAAAAGAGAAGAATGAAGAAAGAAGGCGTTTCAAATGGGACGTTATTAACAGATAAGATAAACAGGTTTTGTAAAGAAGTGGAATTTATGTAATTGCATAAAAAAGACATATTTTAATGAAGATTACCGTAAGATAGAAACAATTTCCTTTATCAGAAGCATTAATTGAAAAAATTTATTGTGGAAAAATGTCTGGCAAGCATACGTATGTAGCGGCACTCGTTTTGTGTAAGTGTACAGAAAATCAAGAAGCATATTGCAAACTTTTTGGACCATTTAACTCGAAAAGAAAACGTTGTCAAGTCTTCTTCACTTGTTAAGGAAATTACTTGTTTCTAGACAATTTCTCACTTAATCTTTCATTTCCCTTTAAAACAACAAAAAGGAAAGTGGACTCGTTTAAACGTTTAAACTGCCCGCCTTTTATATTGGTTCGGTCGTCTCATTGCCAGATGACGCCACACCGGCGAGTGTTTCATTTTATGATACACTATGACTATAATCAATGATAATCTCTTATCCACTCTTATCTATGGGCAATCATAACCTTGCTTATGTTATAACCTTAATAATAAATCTGAATCCTGATGTTTCCCTAACCAATGTATCAAAAATTAATACATTAATTGTCTATGTACAGTAATTATAGAAACAATTTGCAAGCAATCAGTAGGTATGTCGATTTAGTTTATCTTCATACTGTTCAAATCAACTTCCAAATAAATTAAATAAAATCCTTAATACGTAAGACACAAAGTAAAGTATCCCCGATTTTACTTTTTAGATGTTCCCGACATTTCTGCACCTTCCGCTAATTTATTCTGATCCTTGCCGGAATGTTTTTACGTGCGATCTTCCCTAGAAGTACAAGCTACATATTTTCTCGGTTTTCATCAACAAAGTTTATCAACAGTCATAAATTAATTTTAACAGATAATGACTCTACTTTTATTGCGTGGCATCCTCCAAATAATTTTCCTTATAATTGCACAAAGCCTTTACCTATAAGAACTAATGATGAAGAAACTGCAGTTTTAAAAATTAAATTTACTAGTGAAATGATGGAAGCTTTGAAAAAAAAAACTCCTGAACAAGCAAGGCAACAGTTAATGAATATCACACACACTACAAAGCATAAATGGTTTCCTCGAGCTCGTGATAAAAAGGCTAAGAAAACATCCATGGATAGAATATATTTGTAAAAAAAAGGCTTAACTATCATGTAATACATTTATTGCATGTATAAATGTCAAAATATAAGACTTTTTGAAGTTGTATGTACACATTAAAGTTCATTGACAGTTAAATTACAATATTTTGTAACACATTTTAAAAAATGTTTGAATGATTCACAGAATTAGCACCAGCTATTATAAAATGATTTATTTAATAGTATTCATTATCCTCATCACAAGTGTCAAATTTATACTATTAATTTGTTAGAGCGATTAAAGCATTAACCACATTACCATGATGTTCTCTTAATGTACGCTCTGCCATGAGCTTAGATATTTCCATTTCTTTAACTATTAAATCAACATCTTCTTTTTTTATGGATACTTTGAGTAATTCTTTTTCTCTAGCAATCTTTTCTGCCGCCTGTTTATTTCTTTGATCTCCAATCAAAGATATTGCTCCAGATACGTCTTGTGTAGAAATTTCCTTTTCTTCTGCATAATCGGTAACCTTTTCTAAATCTGCTGCACCACTATCATGTTTTGCACTTCTTTTTTCTTTTTGTGATTTGTCATCTGTTTCTTCTGTCGATCCATTCACAACTTCTTCGTCTGCCATTATCTCTAAAATTTAATTTTTATTTTTGCTTTATTCCAAAATGAAGTAATTGTTTATATATTCAGATATATACAGTCAGCATAGATAATAGATATACAAAGGGTAAGTAAGTAAGCCAGTGAGTACCGGACATAAATAATAGGTATCGGCTATCTGGACAAGACAACCCATAGATTAGAGATTTATAATAGATGTTTCACTTTAGGACGTGAATGACAATTCCTAAGGTTAATAGATGACGCTGATAGCACCGTCGGGAAGAAAGATGAACGTTGAATAAAGGGTTGCATATGCAAAATTGACTTTGGTAAAATAAATTAATGTAAATGACTTCTTCTTTGATATAAGGTACTATAGAATGGCTGTCTATCGATAAGAAAAGACGTATAAAATAAAAATTGCTACGATAATTGTAGCGCAAAAAGTGGTTTTGTATGTTTATATAAAACAGGTACATAGTAAAAAAAATACAGCGTGTAATTGTACAATACGCTACTGAAGTGAAACCTCTTCAAACACACAAACATACTGTTGAGTGTAGGCATACATACATAAACATTTACAAATACATTCATACATTTTGTTAGTGCTACACTATACATGTCGGAGTTGCCTGTAACGAACGTTACATTGAAATGCTCTCACGGCTCAAGTGATCCCCATTACAAATTGGACTACGTGGCAGAGTAGAGGGGGGACATCCGTTGCATGATTTCGTTACATAGCAACTCGCATGAAACCAACTTACCTTACCTTGCGTAAAGAAGTTTCAATTCAATATCAATAGAGATAACATCTTTGGGAAACCCGTACATATTCATAGATTTGTCGGCCCCTGTAAATGCCGGCAAATGAAATCAATTGTACAAATATTTGTAGTGGTGAATGAAAATTGTTGACAATTGTGTTAAACTGATATTCAGTGTGCCTGAAAAATGAAAAAGAAGGAAGCACGTATTAAAAAAGTATGTATATAAAGGAAACGATAAAGGAATGTTGCATAAAACTAGAAATCAATTAATATTTCTGAATGAAAGTTATTGAAAAATTATATGAATGTTACGTTGGTATTTCAGTTCAGAAGATAATATTAAGAACGAAACCATTTCAAAAATGATGTTAATAACAAATAAGGTAATGTAAACAATTGCTCGTATCTCTCATATAACTGAGTGACTAACAAATATCTACAATACGTGTGCATTTTACACAGGATATCTCACATAGAGTATTTTATAAACTACTTCGATTTGAGCTTTGAAAATTTGGACATTAGCGTTATTGGAACACTCTGTATGTGTTTTCATAGCCTTATGCAGAATTGTCTTTCAAATGGTACTATGGTTCCCTACACCCATCTCCTCTACTTTTCAAATTACTTACTGTTCTTCGTAAAAGCAACTAAAATAATTAATTTTTTTAAGAAGATGGCTGTGAAATTATTAGCAGACTTCAAAATGATTAATACAATCTAACTGTTGTCACTCAAATACCCACACTGATAGTTTATTAGGTACCTATATTAAATATTATGATTCTCAGTGTTAATGATTGAATATTATTTAAACGAAAAACGGAAAATGAAAATGCCTATTTAAATTGAAATGAATTTTAAGAAAGCAAGTGCAATACGGTAGACTGGGTACAGATAACAAAAGTAAAAAAAGCAAATAAACATTAAATAAAATAAATAATTAATACGGATATCAGCTAATAATAATTAAATGTATTAGTTTAATCGTTATATATAGGGTCAATTGAAAAGTCCCCGGCCTGACACATAGATGGCGGCACCAGAACTAAATCCATATGATTTTCAGTTAGTCCTAACCTTCAAAAGACGCGTCTATAAATTTGACGGCTGTCGGATCATTAGTTTGTGAATTATAGCATTTTTAGTGAAGCAACTTTTGTTATTGTGAAAAAAATGGATAAAAAGGAATTTCGCATGTTGATAAAATATTGCTTTTTGAAGGGAAAAAATACAGTTGAAGCAAAAACTTGGCTTGATGACGAATTTCCGGACACTGCCCCAGGAAAATCAACCATCAAGGTTTGGTATGCTAAGTTTAGACGTGGTGAAATGAGCACCGAAGACGGTGAACGCAGTGGACGCCCAAAAGAGGCTGTTACGGACGAAGACATTAAAAAAATCCACAAAATGATTTTGAATGACCGTAAATTGAAATTGAATGAAATAGCAGACACTCTACAGATATCAACGGAACGTATACATCACATCATTCACGAATATTTGGGTATGAGAAAGCTCTGTGCAAAGTGGGTGCCGCGCGAGCTCACTTTTGACCAAAAACAACGACGAGTTGATGATTCAGAGCAGTGTTTGAAGATGATCACGCGTAATAAACCCGAGTTTTTGCGTCAATATGTGACAATGGATGAAACATGGCTCCATCATTTCACTCCGAAGTCCAATCGACAGTCATCGGAGTGGACTGCACACGATGAACCCGCTCCAAAGCGTGCAAAAACGCAACAGTCGGCTGGCAAGGTTATGGCGTCTGTATTTTGGGATGCGCGTGGAATAACTTTCATTGACTACCTTGAAAATGGAAGGACCATCAACAGCGACTATTACATAGCGTTATTGGACCGTTTGAAGGACGAAATCGCCGAGAAACGACCGCATTTGCAGAAAAAGAAAGTCCTGCTTCACCAAGACAATGCACCGTCTCACAAGTCAGTGAAAACGATGGCAAAAATTCATGAATTGGACTTCGAATTGCTTCCGCATCCACCGTATTCTCCAGATCTGGCCCCCAGCGACTACTTCCTGTTCTCAGATCTCAAAAGAATGCTCGTTGGTAAAAAAATTTCGTCGAATGAAGAGGTGATCACCGAAACTGAGGCCTATTTTGAAGCAAAGGACAAATCGTACTACAAAAATGGTATTGAAAAGTTGGAGGATCGCTATAATCAGTGTATCCACCCTTGAAGGGAATTATGTTGAATAAAAAAAACGAATTTTGCAAAAAAAATGTGTTTTACTATTTTAGGCCGGGGACTTTTCAATTGACCTGTTATGCTCCCCATTAAGCTGTAAGCAATTGTTTACCATTCCGGTAAATCATGTATAACAGCTGGAACCATTAAACTAATACATTTATTTATTATGAGGTAATATCGTTCATTATTTAATTTTTTGTTTAGTTGCTTTATTGACACCTGCAGTTTACTATTGTACGTGCGTATTGTAACTAATTGCTTAAAATTCTACTTAATTTGAAATTGACGTATTTTCATTTTTCATTCATAATAAAAATAATATTCAATAATTTACAATGAGAATCAAAATATTTAATTACTAAACTATCTGTATTCGTTTTTTAATGACACTAATTAAGTTGTATTATTTGTTTTGGAGTTCCGCTAAGAAATTCACAGCCATCTTCGTAAAAAATTAAAACATGGAAATGGAACACCTATATATAACTAAGTTTTTCAAAGCCTACCATGAAAACAAAGTTAGAACATTTATCTGTAAAACTAAACATGTTTTATTGGCTATAAGTATTCATCGCAATGCAAGGTCATGAAGGCATTGAATTTTCAGAAAGAAAAGTACTTGTAACTCATAAACAGGTGACTTTAGGTATAGGGAATTCTCACAAAAATTGAATCTCTTTTTTATTCCGCATCCGATAACTTATTCAAATGAAAGAGATTGTAGTTTGTTGTTAACAGAATTCAGCGCTTTATATCGAGCACCCTGTATATTTCTGAGCTATTTATTTTCATCAAAGCAATATTGGGATTAAAAGTACTTAGTTTTTAAAAAACCACAGCCGACGTTTCACCCAGGTTGTTGGATTTTCTCAAGACTAGTTTTACGTAGTTAAAAATGTAATGCTGATAGATTTGGTTAAGTGGTACATACATTAAGATCAACAATCATTAAAAAAATTACTCAGAACTTTCTATAAATGCGTGGTCATTTTTTTCCTGATCAATATCGCACCAACAAAAAATGAGATCGACTTCTTTGAGGTGCCGATCGAAGCGTATTAACAGCAATATGATCCAAAAACAATTATGTAACATTCGGTGGAATCGTTTTTTTGTTTAACCAAATAGGCTGGAAAGTCGTAAATTCTGGAAATTTGTGAAAAATATTTATCTCATCTTCTTGGTTCTGATTTAACTCGATATTTTGAAATAAATCAGATAATTTTATTCAGTACTAGAAACTGTATATCTGTATTGGCAATTGGTAATTTGCATTTTCACTTTTTCAACGCGAGTGCCACCCAACTCATTCGAGGTGGGCCACCGATTCCCATTTCATTCCCCTTTCCGCCCAATGCTTCCTTTCCTATACCCATTCCCCTTCCCGCTCCCAACTTCTTCCCATTGAACCTTCCCTGGAATGTATAACCTCCGGGTTGAGGGGTTTTAGTCGGTAGGCGCTTCGGCGAATCCGACGCTAGGACCTTAAGGGTCGCAAAAGTAACGCGACCACACCACGGCTTGTTATTCTAATCGTACGACGTCTTATAATAATTTTAATGTTAATTAATTAGTTAATTAGTTTTATTTATAAAAAAAAAATGAGTATTTTTTGTTAATGGTCGTTGATCTAAAAGCTTGTACCACTTAACCAAATCCATCAGCATTACAGTTTTAAGTTTACAAAATTAGCTTTGAGACAGTCCAACAACCTGGGCAAAACATCGGCTGTGGTTATAAATAAAGTATTCTTAACCCCTTTATTATATAACTTTGCTGTATTTACTACAGAGCATGTAGAAATTTGATTCCAGGAACATTTTATTAACACCCAAAAAATACAAACTTTTAATGTGGCTCAAGTTTTCAGTAGGACATGGTATTCATCAGAAGTTTGAAAGAAACGGGTACGATTAAACGTTGGTAAAGGTTTTTTTAACTATTGGAGAGGTTCTTTGTTGCAATATTGTATTATTGTAGGTCGCACTTTAGTGATACGATACGTTTGGAAATACTCCACACAAGTGTGTGTGAATTAACCGGATTACTATTAACATACACCCGACACTAGGTCATTGGGTTATCATCTCATCCAATACAACAGTAGCCTTCAATAGACTTTACTTTTACAGAAGTGTCTACAGATTAACCAATGTAAAACACAGGTAATTCATATCAGCACCTCTGTTTAATAAACTAAATGGCTTATTGATTCAATAAATTGTTGTAGGTTAGGTTAGGTTCATCAAGTGGAACAGACATATATTAATGGACGTGCCTTAGCCGTATGTCGTTGTAATAATTTCTTGGCTAGAAAAGTGAGGAAGATGGCGTATGGTTTCGGACTAGTGTTATCTTTTTCATGACACGCTTACATACTATCGTGAGAGAGATCGATATTGTCCAAAACTTCGTTCCATCTCTTTCTTTTGTTGTACCACAATTCTAACCGCTAAGACATGTCCATTTGTCCATTAGTAAACGTCGATGAAGTGGAACGAGTAGCTTAGTGATTTTTCTGTAACGATTCACCTGTCTTTAGGATTTAGTACGTGGATCGAGCAGTTTATTAGTGGTTCTTTGCATTCCCCAATCTATCTTTGAGGAAAATTTTCACCTAAACAGCGCAGAGCTGTGTCGTTGGGCACCGTCTTATTAAAAATTAACTGCATTATAAAGGGCTAATGGAAGATTTTCATTTCTGGAATAGCTTCTTTAGGGATTTTTCGGTACTAACGTGCAGTCAACCTTCAAGAATTCTGTATGGTATGTTCTGACTATGGGTCTTTCAAAAATTAAATACAGAGCAATCTCTTGTATTATGGCGATTGAAAATACCTACACTTGAAGAATAAGATTCATCAGATCAGATGAGTCTGCCAAAAGATTTATTAATATATGGATTTGTTGTAAATATCATTGGCAATACATTTTCGGTACTCCGCATCACTGAGGTTGAGCGATGTGGAATTTATAGGGGTGAGGTTTTGCCTTTTGTTTCAAATAAATTAGTCACAACCTACTATCTACTAATTGAACACAAAAGGAACTTTAGAAATTCTTATCTGAGCTTGTTTTTAAAAATAATTGTATGTATTTATATATGTTTAGAAAGTCTAATAAATATAAAAAACCCTATACAGGGTTTTCAGTTTGAAAAGACATACTATGTTTGCATCATAACTAAAAAAACGGAAGGTAGTAGAAAAAAGTTGACTTCTTCAATAAGTTTAAAGATAACTGAGATACCGCGGGGAGGGCATGCCTTAAAAATAATACTTTTCAATTCACCAAATCTAAACGGAATACGAAAATTCTGCTGGCGCTATCTTTAATTTCAATAAACAGTAGCACATTGCTGTAAAAACCATAATCCTCTATCTAAACTAAATAAAGGAGATGACTCGTAGAAAAGCCGAAAATGAGCTACCCTGTACATATAATTTTTAGGGTGATTCTCCTAATCATTACCACGTTGAGAGTATACAAGGTAAATTTTTTTTTGGGAAATGAATATTTTACCGCTATGGCATCTGAACCATATTTAGTATTTTAGAGATGATTCTGAATTGTCAGTTTAATATACGTATAATTAACGAATTATTTATTCAGCACATATTTTGAAATACATTTAAAATACCTACAACATGTATATTTTCAATTTTATTACAAACTAATGTAAACTTATCTGGTAGTAATCATTAAAAACATAGATAGTAGAACAGAAAACTAGGTACTTTGTCATTATAAAATTATTAAAATACACTTTTATTTGATTACTTAAGGTGAGGGTTGGCTGGAGACGTTTGTCCTTAAAAGTAAAGTTTTTTTTTTCATGAAACAGATGTTTTGATGAGTCTCCCATAGTATGCAGTTAGGGCTATTAATCGGTCATTGAGAAAATTTTGTTCTATTTCCACACTTTTTCCTTCTCCTGACAAAACTAGGAGCTAGAATCATATAAAATAAAAATATTTTGTTGTTTTAAATAATTCACTAAAGGGCTCACCGGAAATATGTTACTGTTTCTTGGCAAAAATAATGCAACGTTTTCAGTAATCTTTCTGGCCGTCTCCAAAACTTCTGATAAGGGCTTTGGTTGTAAAAATTTTTCCAAATCATAATCAGGTAAATTCAAATAAGAAGGACCTCCCCAAGGAGGACTTAAAAACACCACATCACCTTTGAGTTTATCAGCTAAATGGAAAAAGTCACCTATAACGAACTCTATGCGGTCTGCGACATTGTAAACTTCTGCATTATTTCGAGCTAATTGAATTTTTTTGGGGTCTATGTCAATTGCAATAACTAAAAATAAAAGAACAGCTGTAAAATTAATACTGGATTTAGGCACTTAATGTGGAATTAATAATATCTAATAGTCATTTGTACTATCCCTGAACATCCAAATAGTACAGTAAAGACCTGTTTATAATTAACTTGTTACATAATATCTAATCATACACCCTATCAAAATAAATAATTTGTGATCACACTTCATTTAATGCCATGTCAGTTTTTAAAATATCTTCAAATGTCTTTGATAGAACTTTACAGTTTTTTACTTTCGGGAACCTTCTGAAAACGTCCGATTTATTTTTTATTTGAACTGTTTAACTGCTTTCCCAGAACGCAGGTACGACACACACATTTACTAGCCCGCGGCTAGTCGGCGAATCGATAAACCGTTCACGCACACATGTGCCCGATCGCTCACAAACACATTCGTGCTCGCTACAATATTATAAGCCTCATCGGTTTTACCTACTTCAAACTTTTCTTCTACTTCTTTACACTTATCAATCCACTGTTCCTACACCATTGTCCTTCACCTCCTAATTATATTCCACATTATAGCCTTATATCTTTTTTTTCCCTTCTACGTCTGTCCTGTTTTTGTATTTCCGCCTTTCTTCTATCTTTCGTTTTGTTTAAGACGTAGTATATCTGTATAGCTGCTAACTTTAGGCACGTTTTAATGTAATTCCATTCTATCTCTATGTCCTTGTCATTCGTTTCTCTCGCCGTCTTTAGTATTTCGTCTGTCCTTGTACCTAGCCTATCACGCGTTTCGTTAAAATTTATCGTTTATTGTTATTATGTGTAGTACTAAATTATTTATGTTTATATTAGACATTCGAAAATCTCCATCCGTCTAGCAGCACTACGCTATTGGGTAGACAGTTATGTTGTCAATTCACGCACAGGGTCGGCTTCGAGCTGTAAATTCTTATAATTTGTTTAAATGGTCGGTGCCGTTAACGTACAACTAGTAACTGAACATATGAACACATTATAACATGGAAAGAGACAAGGCTCCGCGCTATTTCACGTATGCTACTTTGGGGGATGTCGTCTTCTACAATGGCAATACAGTTAGGGTATGGGCGCCTATGGCCCTCATATGTAGATCGTACATTGCCGGCTTCTCATAATGTCTATACCGCATTATTTAAACCGGTTTGCCGATGAGGAAGTCTTCGTTGGGGATATCGATGACCGTACCATTCGACCATTGCATTAAAATTTTACTCGCATTTGCCGTAAATTAGTATCATATCACAAAATTCTGCCGCATTAAACGTCATTTAGAACTACTGTTCTACACTGACTTACTACGGTCACACACACACTGACCTACCAGCAATTCGACTAACCACATACATACAAGCCTACAGTATTAAAAGAATAAAGGACTGGTACAGGCTGGTTGTAACATAAACATCGTCAATTACACTTCATCTAGTTTAACATATTACAAAGAATGCATGAGCACAAAAAAGAAATACAACAAAAATACTGCTAATTCCCGGCTGATTGAATAAAGCGTTGCGTTGTCGCACTTCTATCCAGGGCTGGAATTACATTAGCCTGTACTTTGAACTAAGTGTTTCTCGAAAACGGTGAACTTTTGAACATACAAACATTTAGTTCATTTTCTTGTATTATGGTAATGCTCTATCATCACCTGAAAGCTCGCTACTTATTTCAAAAATCGTACCTTACATAGAACATGGTTTGAAACGTGTCACCATAATGTGACGTATTTCTTAAATATTCAAACAAAAAAATTTAATTTTTATCTCATCGCAATTGACTTGCTCAATCAGTCGATATACGATGTGTCTTTCAGGCGTAATGAACTTGGCGAACAGAAACGAAGAGGTGGCATGCTTAGAGAATAAGAGACGTGAATTGATGATCAGTGAAATTAAAGAATGCGTGAAGTTTGGACCAGCGAAAACGCAAGCAATTACCAGTAAGAAGAGCTTTAGCACGTACCTTTATTGCATGTCAAGGCGAATTGAATAGAATTTCCGCCAGCACCACAAAAGGCATCTATAATTACATCACAATGACATCTTTGTGCTGTATTTTTAGCTATTTTTTCCGGGGTTACTGAAAACCAACTCTCTACAAAAGCAATGTATAGTCTGTTTAAAGTTCTACAACTACTGAATGTATACCTTCGTCTAATTTAACACCTAAATCAAATTTGCTAAATAGAGAAAATCGTCTTCCCCAGTATTTTCTTAATTTTTCATTATTTTTTATTTCTATTGGAAGATTCGCTTTTCTCTTTCTAATTTTTTTCTTCGGGTAGCATTTTTTGTAAGCGTACTTCTCTTGTTCTTCTACATCCTGTAATAAATTATTTTCGGGGAAATACTCATTATCTTCATAGTCACTTCCAGTGTTTGAAGTTGACTAAAATTTATGAAAATTAAAAGCTTCGTTAATAAAATTTATTATATTTAAATAAGTTGTAACGGTTTTATTACCATGGCATTTCCTTCATCATACTTATCATCTATGCATTTTCCGTTATCTTTCACAACTTCCAATGACAATTCCTCAGTTAAATCTTTACAGTCATTTAAGATGTTTGAAGAGGACTAAAATAAAACAAAATTAAAAGCTCCTTTAGTAGAATTTTAATTAACAGTACCGGTTTTGTTTCGCTGATCTCTCCCTCGTCATTAAAAAATACGTGTTTTGGTGTAATTTTTGTTTGGTCAGAAACTTGAGGATGTATCTTCAGTTTTCGATTTTGACGTCTAATGTGCTTTACTTTGTAATTTACGTTGCCAGTAAATGTTTTCACTCCTTTCGTTTCGTTAAATTTGACGCATAATAATTCAAATGCAGCTTTTATAGAATCATTTTTTATCTGTGAAACACTGTAAAACCAGAGTATAGAACTAATTTTTTTTTTCATATTTCTACTTACTTTGCATTAGAACAGGAAGTGTCATTATATTTTTTATTAGTGCGTGAATTTCCGAAAGATATTGGCAAATTAAGAGACATCATTTGTTGAAAATCGTCATTATGCGTTTCATCGTCACCATCTTCAGTCATTTCACAGTTACTGTTTTCTTTATTGTCGTTAATATTTAATTTACCACAACTTTCATCAATACTCTCCTTTGTGTCTGTTGTTTTGTCAACAACTGTACTTTTAAGAATAATTTTCTTACAAAGATTCTGGAGTGAATTCATTTCTGCATTACTATCATTTATTTGATAATCTTCACAATAATTAGCTGAAAATGAGTGTATAAGTTATGAATTTATACATGAACGGAAATTAAACATAAGATAAGAAATAAAACATAATAAACGTTCCTGTTACTTTCTTAATATGTGAATAATGTAATTTATCTTGATTGGTGACTGATTAACCATCGCAAAGCTAAAACAGCTGAAGTCAGAAATGTGAAATTTGAATACCAGATTCTTTTTGCAGCTAAACATCCATTAAGAAAATATTTTTGAGAATTCAACCCCTAAAGAGGTTACACTTTTACTACTTCTCTGAAAGCTCTTAACTTGGTAAAAAACCTTTCGTCACCACTTAACTTTTTACAAAAAGTAAACATATACGTGTTTAAGTATATTTCAAAATTCAATCTACATATTGTTTATAAGGAGATTTATAAAGAAAGAACAGGTGGACTTAACGAATACACTTATTTTAATAAATGAAAAATCGTTTGATTCGTAAAAACATCACAAGTCATTAAATATTTTAAACTAAAGAAAAACAAACAAAACGAAATGAAGGACTTTTTAAAACCCTGAGAGCTTTGTACAAAACGTGCGATAGCAATAAATAAAAGTACTTACTTTCGTCTTTTGAGTTAGAAAAGCTGAATCTTTTTAAAAGAAACTGATTATATTGGTAAAAATATTCTTCTTCACAATGACTATCCCACAAATGAGTCCAGTGATCGTCAAAACTCAATTCTTTTTCGAATTTTATATCTGATGATGTATTAATAACGCTTTCTGAATTTTGAAAGTGATGTTCTCTAGNTATTGTGTTTTTTAAGTTGTTTTCCTTCTAGGTACTCGTATATGATTTCCATATCTTCGTTTATCATCTGTTCTAGTTCTGTTTTGTTTTTCCCTTTGTATAGTAATGTCGCATCGTCTGCGAATAATGTTATTTCTCCCTTGAGTTTCAGTTTTCCTATATTGTTGATGAATATTATAAATAGGGAAGGTGAAAATATTGTTCCTTGGGGGACGCCTATTTTAATTGTGTTCTGTTCGCTTGCTATTCCATTAACAACTGTTTGCTGTTTTCTATTTTTTAGGTATGAGGTTAATCATTCCAGAGTGTGCCCTCTTATGCCTGCAGCTTCTAACGATTTTAGTAATTCGTTATGGTTAACCAGGTCGAATGCTTTTTGGAGGTCAAGAAATGCTATGGCTGCTTTTCCTCCTTTATCTAGATGTTCTTGTACTTCGTTTATGACTTCTGTTGCTGCTATCTTTGTACTCGTGTTGGATCTAAATCCGTGCTGTTTTTTGTAGAAGAATTTTTCTTGTTCTAGGAATTTATTTAGTTGTTTTTGTATGTATTTTTCTATTATTTTTGCTATTGTGGAGGTGTTTGTAATTGGCCTATAGTTTGTTAATAATTCTTTTTTCCCTCCTTTGTATAGTGGAGTGGTTTTCCCGACTTTAGCATTTTCCGGGAATGTTTTTTCTGTTATTGAAAGGTTTATTAGTTCTGTTATTTCTGTTTTAATTGCTGGTAATATGGCTTTCATCGTTTTGGGAGAGATTCCATCTATGCCGCTGGAGTTCTTGTTGGGTAGTTGTTGGATGATTCTTTCAATTTCCTCTTTAGTTGCTGGAGCTAGATAGAAACTTCTGTTGGCACTCCCTCCTCCCCTAAACTCCTTAACGTCTAAAATAGAATATTAAACGGTGCGGAAACGCGTTATTCAACTATTGAGTGAGAATTGTGGACGAAAGTTTAGTCTTGTAAGAATTTTCGATCGCACTTTTTTGGTAGAAAATTTAAAATAGTAACCGACCATAGACCGCTTACAGAGCATTTTTTCTATATAGGATAGTCGTCTTACTACGAGATTGTTTATAAAAAGGGTTCATTAAATCGCAATGCGAATGCTTCGTCTAAAATACTGATAAAAATTTTAAATAAAAAAGATTATGAACTTTCCGATAATAGTAAAGACTTGCAAAAAAGATTCAGCAATTAATGATTCCACTGAAAAATTTATAAGAAAACATAGATATAATCGAAAATGACGATTTATTCAATGCGGTTATAGAATACAATGAAGGTAACGTGGTTTAATGTAAAATTCAAAGTATCTCGCAACTTGGCTTCTCAGATTGCAAATAAGGGTACAATTTGTAGTAATGTTAGACATTGATTTTGACATATGATTATTTCTATTTCATTAATTGTATACCATATTTACAACATGTCTAATAAATATTTTCGCTCTAAAGTTATTTCTTTTATTTTGCAAATCAGAAGTTACTAACAAAAATTAATTGATTTGACAATTATCAAACGGTTAGACACTCCGAATCTAGTTTATTACAGATAAGTTGTCCAACAATGTAATAAACTGACTCGTAACTATCACTCTTATCAACACAAGCTTTGCAAACTTGTGGAGGATTAGTTCTGTCAAACAAATTCTTGTTTATCTCTTTTGGAATACCGAGATGTAAAACGATAGTGCTAAAAGTAATCCCCAAGAAACATCAGTTCACTGAAGAAGACACAACCAAGTGCTAGTTATGTGCCAGTTAAAAGTGTTGGCGGGTGAAATTAGTGTTCTCAGCTACATAAATATTCCACGCCTTCTGGACATTTCGCTGTATCTTCAAGACCTGACCGTAATTGCTTCCTGCTGGTTATAAGTTTCATGTAACTACCTACCTTAATGTCTGGGAGTCATAGCCTTTATTGTTTATTGTATATTGTAATTTGCTCACCGAGAAGCGTTTACAGTTACCCGGATACGCTTCTCAATCTAGAGCTACATTTGGCATGTTAACCTACCTTAATCTTAACTTAACCTAATTAATACTAGTAGCTTAACCTATATATTTCTAACTTAAGATTGGATATAGTTTCTTTGAACTTTTATTGCACTTTATCTTTTGGTTTTGGGTAAATTTTTGTTTGACTTTATTCTTGTTTGTTTATTATCCAGTTTTTGATCGTTTTCTTCGTTAGTTTCTTTGGGATTTTTTTTTTGAAGTTCATTGTGTTTGTTTATTATCCAGTTTTTGATCTTTTTCTTCATTAGTTTTTTTGGGATTTTTTTTGAAGTTCATTGTACAGGTTTATACCTCTATTTAAAAATGTGTTGACTCCCGTCTTGTGGGTATTATATTGTCTCTTTGCTAGGTGGTTTTATTGTCTTGTATGATGGGTGTGCTTGCCCTTATTGAATTGTATTTGTATATTGCTCTTGCATGTTTTAGTTATAATTTGGTGTATTAGCCATATTGTTTCCGTGTCTATTATTTGGTTTATTTTTGGTATTTGTTGCCGGGCATACATTAATTCTGTTGGGTATCTATATGGTATACTGTGTATAGCTTTTATTGCCTGATTTTGTATCGTTTGAAGTTGGTGTAAAATTGTTTTGCCTGCTTGCTTGCTACAAAATGGAAACCAAGGGAATCCTACATGAGGTAATCTAAATCATCCAACCTAAATATTTTCATTCCTTAAAATGTTAAAAATACGGTTTGGAACAACCGGACATGCTCATTCCAATTAAAATAATTTCATACAATTGGCACTTCCGGTTCAACAAGATATGACTATCTCATTTCAAGTGGAAGATCCCTATTATAACGGGGTGATCAGCCTGAAAACCCGCACCTTCAATTCTTCTTATCCTGAGCTAATCTCAAACACGAGAACATCTTACATCACTGTTTGCAAACACCAATCTAATCTAGGTCTTCCTTTGCCTTTGTTTATTACTTCTGATGAGTTTTTAACTAGCTTTTCATGTCTGCAAAATCATCCTACCATACTATCTCTCCTGTTTTTATTGACTTCGTTAGCACCCTCTGTTCTCTCACTCTTTCCAGTACCCCTCATTTCTAACCCTTCCTTTCATCATCCTCTCATAACACCAAATGGCAAAATTTTCTTTGCCGCTGCACCCACCGTCTACGTTTCCCATCGGGATATAGAACCGTACTCCAAACGTAACTTTTAACAATGTTTTCCGAACTTTAAAACATCCTGCAAATCTTATTAGTTCTTGAGATAATTCTGATGTGTGATGTTTTGAAAAGGAAAAAGAATGCATTTTGTAGTTTATGAGAATTGACCAAAAAAATCATTAAAACATACCGCAATGTTTACTTCAACATCCTACCTACAATTTTTATTATTTCAAGGGTCAGTTCGCATAAAATTTTCGTGTAAGGCTCAAAATTGCTTAGTTGACGTAGATACATCATAATTAGAAATATTTCTTATAAAACTAACCCACTATTGATCTTAAAATGACTATATCCGGTGGGACCAGAACTGCAAGCTATTAAATCCATATATTACTATAGAACCTATAGAACAGCAACTAATATTATTAAAGCCTCTTTAGCCTACTTTTAGGAGATTTAGGGGAATTGTTGGATGATGACTGGGGAAAGAAAGATGTGACGAATAAAATGAAGACACAAGGGAAGTAAAAGAATATCTGTGGAATATTATTACTGCTCCAGCATTTGCCGAACTGATTCAAATAAGTCAAAGAAAAACTTGAAAAAAAGCAAATGGACCCGGAATCGAACTGGTGCGGCGTCCTCTCGAAGCTAAACTATGGTCTTGTGGCGATATCCACCACATGTTTGAAAATTGTTTCATTTTGTTTACATATTGTAAATACCTTTCTAAAATATTTCTTTTCTATTTTCGATTAGTGTCTATAAAAATTCCTTCCTTTTGTAAATAATCTATTGTATCTTGCTTATCTATTTAAATAACTCTATTACTGTACTTTCCTATAATCCCTGTAACATTTCATCTTTTGTGTACTAACCGCATGACGTCTGTACCTTTCATTCCTTCCTAATTACATTTTTACAATCGGTTTCTTCGGTGGTTGACCGGCCATCAATTTCTTGGTATTTCTAATCTTAAAGTTTCCATATTTTAATGCTTCCCTACTCGTATCTACTACCCTCTCTATTCCTTCCTTGTAGAACAGTTTTTCATTTTTCATAAAATACCAAATCAGTTCGTCTTACGCCTTCAGCAGAACAAGTCTCTTCTCTTCTCCTTTC